CTCCCTGCGCTTCCTCAGCCAGCTCCTTCGCGGGCGGAGGGCTTGGCCCCGTCGGCTGCCCCACTGCCGTTGCGGCGGCGGTTGTCCTGGTTGTCGTCGCCGACAGGCAGCGGCGATGCAAACATCATCGCTGTGGGGTCTACGTAGCGCGACGGCCTTCGCTCCGTTGCCTGCCACACCGCATCACTCTCCGCTTCTTCCCCCTCTTCTTCCTCTTCCTCTTCCTCTCCCTCTTCTTCCTCTTCCTCCCCCTCTTCTTCCTCTTCTTCACCCTCTTCTTCTTCTTCTTCTTCACCGTTGCCCTCTGCCTTGTCGTGTGGTTGCGGCTCCTTTTCGGCCGGGAGTGGGTCTGCGAGGGCCAACGGCGGCGATGCTGCCGTTTCCGGCTGAGGGGGAGCCGGGGTCACGGCCTTTAGTTTCGTGTGCAGCAGTTGTATTTGCGCCGCCACGAACTCCTCGCTGGCCTCCCTGCGAAACACAAGTCGAATGAGCTCCTCCATCTCCTGCGTCGAGAACTGCTTGTACTCCCCGCTGGTAATGAGGTCGCTGACCACGTTCTTGTTTGGCAGGTGGCGCAGAAAGGTGGCCGGGCGTGAAAAGTAATGCCTCACCGCGTCACGCACCTCCTCGTCGGTGGGGAGCAACAGCTGCAGCGCCGTCTCGATGGAAAGGAGATTGGCCCGCAGCCGCGTCAACCCGGCGGGGGAGATGGCCTTGTCGCGGAGGTGGGCAAGCTCCAGCATGATCAAGCCGCTCAGCGGCTTGGCGACGGTGATGCCCACGTACTTCAGCTTCTGCCCCGACAGGTGCAACTTTAGAAGGGCGAAGAAGTTAATGATGCGTCGGTTGTACGCCTGCACAAACGTGTCCGGGGAGGGGGCGGTGGCCACGATGTTGTACGACTCATCGCGGAGCTGTGGGATGTACTGGAACGCCGCAAAACGCGCCTCGAGCGAGAGATAGAAAATACACACCTGCGAGACGGTGTACATCTGCCGCAGAATACCACCGAGGCGCACCCAGCGCGTCCCATCGCTGCTCGTGGTTGCGGCCAATGAGGCGGACCACCGCTCGTAGCGCCCACAAAACACCCTCCCTGGGACCATGCAGTCAGCGTTGGAGCCGTAGTGCCACCCTTCCTGCCAAACCGTCTGAAGAACAACGTCACAGAGCCACTCCATGGAGTAGCAGAGAATGGCGAGTGCCACTGCCACGCCATTTCCCCTCAGTGCAAGCTCTGCAGGGGGAATGTCGCCAATGCTCGCGTCAATGCCAGCGTCACCGATGCCTTTTGACTTGTCAACCAGCTCAGCTCCCACAAAATCATGTGCAACGTGACTGTACTCATGTCCACTCGTGCGTCGCTCGTTGTTGTATGCGTAGTACCTAAATAAATCCGCGTCAACGGCGTTGTGGGCGTCCAAGAGGTGCGTTTCATCACACAGCGCCCGCCATCGTGGGCCGGGGCTCACAGAAAACGCCTCCTCAAACTCTGCGTGGAGCAAATAGTGGTACAAGGTGCGGTGCGTAATGAGGTGCAATTTCTTTTTAAGAAACATAGTGAGCTCGGAAAGTAGCGTCTCTGTAATGTTCTGCTGGGCGACGTCGGCAAGGTTGTTAGGCAGCTTTCGACAGGTGCGGGCAATCTTCTGCAGCACCTGGCCAACGTAATGGACACAGGTGAGGATCGGATACCCACTCTCGCCTTCCTGGCGAGGTGTGACAATGGGCCACTTGATTCCCTCCTGTTGAATCTTGTGGTGATGCATAGGCGGCTCCGTGGCCGTGTGAGACGGCACCGTTGGACTCCTCGGTGGCTTTCCCGCGTCGACCCCGCCGCCTGCGACCGCCTCATCGGCGAAACTCTCCGACTCCGACATGTCCGCAAAGAGCCGCCTCAGCTCCTGCACGTGAAAGAGGTACAAGGTGGGGATGCAGGTCTTCTGTAAAAAGTGTTGGAAGGAATTCCCCATTTCCTCACGGGACACACTGACAAACCGAGGGGCACGCACGGCACAGCGCTGGTAAAAACGACGAACAGACTCGTAACAGGTGAAGATATTCATTGGAGTCAGAACAAACCAATTTGTTAACGTCGTTGCCTGCTGAAGCAGCAGCGCACTGCCGCTTCTTCCGCCAGCGCTGGAGGCGCCTGCGGCCGACGTGGAGCCTGCCCTCGACCGCCTCCTTTGCCCCTCATTGGTGCGCTTGAACTCCCGCTGGGCGTACTTGACAGCCACCACAAGACTAAACGATACATGCCCCGTCTGCTCCATCACCGCAAGCAGGCCAGAAGAGTCATGGGCAGAGAGCAGCTTCTCAAGCGAAGAGAAGTTGTCCGCGGCGGAGCCACTCATCAATACAGCTGTGCGATGCACGCGACCGGCGAGATTCCGATGCTTCAAAAAGGGTTTGAGGGCGATCTCGTCACCAAAATCCTCCTCCAACTCCTTTGCATCGCAGAGCAGGCGGAAAATCAACTCGATGTAATAGCTAAGCTGCGACGACAACACCTGCAAGTCCCACTGGGAATACATTTCGTTGACGTCGCGCCGAAAGGCCTGAAGCACCATGGAGGAGACCAAGCTACTCAACTCTATACGGCACGCCGTCACTTTCTCCTCGCCGTCGTCGGGGAATTCCCGCATGACTGCCTCGGCAGCCTCAGACACGGCATCCAGCACGGTGCAGAGACAAACACGTCCTCCCGTCAAAGTTGCGAGGCGCGGAAAGGTCTCCTCCACGTCCAACTTTACTATTAACCGTCTTAGCACCAGCATCCCCGCGTTGTGCTCCTCATCCTTTTCCTGCGCCTCATACTTGGCGAGCGTCTTGGAGAGCGCCGTCGCGAGTATCTCCCGCATCTCCTCTGGCCTTTGCAGCGGAGTTTGCGTGACATCCCAGTCGCGGTATGTTGCGTCCGCAGAAAAACCACCCGGCCGCATCAAAAACGCGGAAAGAAACGGAAAATTGGCGACAAGAATCACCTTAATAAGATACTCCGCGTTACGCACAATCTTTTCAATTTCCGCAAAAAGGGCGTTTAGCATTGCACTCAGCTCTGGGCGTTGAATGAGCGCAACAGCCTCGTCGTAGGAAATGGTGGGCGACGCAAGCCCCTTTGCCTGAAGCTTCGTCACCCGCACCGTGGCGGCATCGGAGCTTCCCGTGACACTCGTTGACCGCGCCGCGCGTTGTCTCCACGCCCCGTAAAGGCGAAAAAAGTCCGCGATAGACTGCTCAATGCTCCGCGTCGCTCTTGAGAAGAAGGTCTCGTAGCAGCAATGCAGTTTTCCCAGCTCCTGCATGGCTTTTACGCAGAGTGGAATAAAGCGCAGGTAGTTCTTTACGACCTCCTCGTCGTAGGGGTCGTCGTGGATGTCGTTGACGACGTCCGAGAAGGTCAAGGCGACCTTACTCGCCCTGGCACTGGCGTGCTGAAGCTGCTCTTGGAGCGTGGCAAAGGCGTCTAAGGCCCCCACCGTCGATTCAGATGCACCGTCAACTAGCATCTGCCCCACCAGCTGCGCGTCCGCCTCATACATGCGCCCTTGGCGAAACACGCAACGCATTAAATCCTCAACGACGGTCTCATGCATTGTATCCAACGTTCCATCCACATAATCGCGCAACGCTTGGGTGGCGCGGATGTTGGCAACCTCGGGCATCCCAAGCCGTGCCTTGTGCTGCCGTAAACGCTGCACCGCGGCCATATAATGGTGCGTGGCGATCAGTTGCTTCACCTCAGACTCGCAGGAAAGTGAGGCCTCGAGCCCCTTCAGCGATTCCGCCATCAGGAGCGCCTTGGCGGCCCGCATCCGCAACACCTGCAGCTGCTCCGCGAGGCTGTCAAAGGAGGCGGCGGCCATCGCAAGCTGTTGCTTCAGCCGGGCCAACATTTCATCACTGCCGGATATGGCTAACACCATCTCAGAAAAGCCTGCAACGGCCTCGTTGAACTCGTCATGGTGGGACTCAATGTAGCGCCCCATCATGTCATCCAAATCCTCTTGAAGCTCGTAATACACCGACAAGCGCTCGTCGATCTCGCTCGCAGTGGCTTCAGTGCCATCTTCGTTGGCAATAACCTGTACAACGTGCTCGAAGGGAACAAAGGCGTCCGAGAGAAGCTCCGGCTCCACCTGCGAAAAGAGTGAATTCGCACTGCGAACAAACTCTCTATCTACATGACTCGCATCCCCGCTCCCGTCCTCGTCGTCATAGTCGCCCTCGTCACCAGCATCGTCGTAGTCGTCCTCCTTCGCCTCCATCGCCTGCGGGAACAATTTCCGCGAAAGAAGCTCTGTTAGCCCCGCTCCCCGCAGGATTCTGCTTTTGCCTTCCTGAACCCCACCCGCTTCCGATGCAGCGGCCGCCGGCAACATCTCCCCCTTCCGCGCCAAGTTGCTCATTAAGGCGCCTGCCAGTGATGTTGTCGGGGCTTGGCTGCGACCAAAGACGGGGGGAGCGTCTGTGTCTGCCACACGACCGGCTCTTTCGAACGTCGACGGCCCCGATTCAATTTCAACGGTTAGTGCCTCATTTTCGCTCCCCTGCTCCTCTTTTTCCTCCTCACTCTCTTGCTTGGGGGTCGCAAAGGCAGAGACGGCGTTGCTGCGCAGAAAGGCCCCGGCACCAAAAACGTTGGCTGAGGCCCCACCGAACAGGGCGCTGCCCCCACTAGCCAACCCCGTGCCACCGGTGCTACGGAAACTGGCACCGCCACTCGTGCCCATGTTCGCCGTCGCGAAGGGGGTTGTCGAGGAGGGTCCAAAGGCGCTATTGCCCGCGGAGGCGTTGTAACGCCATGCCATGGCTACTGCAGCAATGTGCGGCGCCGATCCCCTCCCCCTTCCCCCCGCTCAGACACACCCACACACACACACACACACCCAGTTGTTTGCTTGCTTGTTTTTCGGTGGTATTGCCTTGGCCCTTCTTCGCTTCCCTTGTGCAGTCCCTGCCCCGCGATTGGATCGCTGCGAGTCGGCGGAACGCACGCAATAAAAACGAACAACAGAACAAAAAAAAAAAAAAAATCAAAGTTTGTGCGGAACAGATGGGGAAAAAAAAACAAAAAACAAAAAAAACTTCCGCGGAAGCGCGTGTGTCACCTCGTCAGCACGCGACGAGGGAAAACGCATAAAACAAATAAAAGTGAAATAAAATTGGGCGACTTTGCGCAGCCGTCGATGAAATCAAGATGAATAATCATCGAGAAAACAAAAACATAAAAAAAACAACAAAAAGCTAGAACGGAGAAACGAAATGTGCATTTCAGACGTTCCCTCCACTTCCTCCAGTGGCTGTTGGTGGCTAAACCCGGTTGTATTTATCGCGGCCTCGGTCAACCGGGTTTAGGCAACAAGGGGCGGCCCTCTAGTTCTTGGAGAACCGCTTGCCAAGCTTGTCCGCGGCGGACTTGCTGACAACCTCCAGCACGTTGTAGCGGATCGTCTTGCTCAGCGGGCGGCACTGGCCGACCACCACCTCATCTCCAGGCTTGGGGTCGAAGCAGGGGCTGCAGTGCACCGTCAGGCTGCGGTGGCGCTTCTGGTAACGCTGGTACTTGCGGATGAAGTGCAGGTAGTCGCGGCGAATGACGATGGAGCGCTTCATCTTGGTGGAGTGCACCACGCCGCGAAGAATGCGGCCACGGATGGACACGTTGCTGGTGAAGGGGCACTTGCGGTCGATGTACTTGCCGTTGACGGCCGCCTTGGGGGTCTTGAAGCCGAGACCGATCTTCTTGGAGTAGCGGATGTGGCCGCTCATGTTCACGTGCTTCCTGTTCGGGTTGTGGATGTTCTCATTCACCGCCGTCTGACGC